GGTGGATCGGGTATACGCTGAGGAGGCCGTCAATGACATCACGAGCAATGCAGGCCATTGCTCGAGTGGAATTCGATTGGGAAGCGACCACTAGGTCGTCAGTGCGAAGTTGACATGAAGGAGATTGTGCGAGGAGGAGGAGACGAGAGATTATGTGGAGTCGTCGGCCCAGATGAAGAGGATGGCAGAGAATAGAACAAAGTGGAGATAAGTTGTTGAATCCCTATGTTCCACTCGGAACCCAAGGGAATAATAATAACAAGTACTTTACCAGGCTACTTGTGTCTTCTAAAGAAAATGGTTTATTCGCAGGGCTACTTAGTAGTTTTGGTTGTTGTCGCAAAATTTCATGCAATGTGTATTTTGTTTCTACACTCATTGTTCGTGTCTTAAATCCAGAAATTCTCATTCACTTGACGAACTCCATTCAATGTACTATAATAACGGTTAGAAAAATAGTTATTTAGCAGTTATTTGAATGACAGGTAGGGAATAAAAATAACCACCAGACATAAACAAATATGAACGGTAGTCGAAATGTATGCAGCGAAATAAGCGTGTTGATATAAAAACAAATATGCGAAACAAAAGCAAAGGCTTTCAAGAGTTAGTTTGTAGGGATTTGATTGGTCTCAGGTTTGAACAGGTACTGACATCAGTTAGAGAAGTATTGGAAACCATCCAGGGAGTACTGGACAGCTGTTTCTTTCTAGTGTGCAACTCACCAAATGAAATTGGCTGGCTGTCGCGCTTTATCCATCATCAAGTTAGATTTGATGGGCCCATTGGCTGGATGGTCAACGACCTCGCCTCGTAACCTGAAGGTTCAGAGGTTTCCTGTATGTGCCACCTGAGAGTTGCAAGCCAGGACGAAACAACTGTTCAGAACTTCCAGTTGGGTTTTCATGGTTCTCTAACCGATATCAATCGTGATCAAACTAGAAACAAAACAAAAACCACAAATGAGCTGGATTTATCTTGACTAAACTCCATAACGAAATATATATATATATATATTATTGTAGGGCTGGAAGAGGAAACTATCGAAAAGAATATTCTTTCCTCACACTTTTTTTGTCTTCTAAGTGTTTGTTAATTTCCATTCTCCTGAAGCCATCTGCTTCTGAGATAAAATGGCAAAGCTCAGATGAGGTATGAAAAACTCACTGGAACTTTCTGCAAATACTTACATCTTATGTAAAATTTTCTAGGAAGAGAAATTAAGAGACAGGTGACGCATACATTGAAACCTATTGCATAATTAGTCAAATCAATATATATATATATATATGTATATATTTGTGCTCAAGATGCCTCAAATAAGTGTGCTATCTAATTTTGTTGTACAATGTCAGGTGTGTGAAATTATTTTGAAATGACTGAAAGTAAGACGCATATTGGGAATATCAACAGATGTGTTCTAGCATAACACATCATCTGTATGTGGCTATGAAAACTGGCTATGAAAACTCCCGCATGAATAATATTGTAGAAGATGAATACCGACTGGTCTAGATTCTTGATTCTGTCCGAACTAATTAACCACCTAAATCCATGTCCTGGATTTCAGTATTCGTGTCTTCAGATAAAGTCGTCCACTCATCTTCTTTTTCACAACCTCTTTCCAGTACACAAATCATTCAGTATCCTAATTTTATCAGACTCAACGTGTCAGTCATACTTTGACAATCATCAGAAGGAAAGGGACTGCATTATGTAATCGAAACTCTATTTATTTTTTTTCCTTAGCTTACATTCCAAATATGGAATGTAGAGCTTCAAGCTTTGAGGTTTTAGTAGCGGTAGTGTATTTTTAACGATATGGGGTTGCTAAGCTCAAACACAACTCCAGTTTAGGCTAGCGCGGCTAGTGAGAATTATGTTATACAACCACCGACACTACAAAGAGTCAAAACTCTGTAGCAGAGAAGTAAAGTACACTAAAAATTCTGTATAATGCTTTCTAAATACATGTATTTATCTGTTAAACTGATTGAAATTAGCGGTTATTAAAATAAAATCATTTTTCATAGCTGTTGTGATAAAAAATAGAAAACACTCTATTTATTTATGAATATTATGAATATAAGTTGAAAGAATAAAGAGGTACACTTTGAAATATAAACATACCTTCCACCTTTGAACATTGAACACATAAGTAAATTTAACTGATAAAATCAAATGATGTTTTATTTAGAAGAAAAAAGAAAGAACAGTGCAAAAGTAAATTATTAGTATTCTCCCAATGTTTCCTTGTACTACTGATGAGGGGAAGAGAGAGAGAGAGAGGCGAAAAGGCGGAGATCATTACACTACAGTGACACACACACACACACACACACAGACACGTACACACACGGTGACACTATTTAAAATGATTATCAACTGTTAGTTATTAGTTGATTCATATTTTCACCTGTTTGTTGGTGAAAATGCAATCAAAAAAGGACTTGTAAATAGAAATCAAAACTATGTATCCACTTCAGTCGTTAAAAGAAAAAAATCACTATCTCCATCATCATTGTAATCGGCAGTTAGGGAAACGGCTAGAAAAGCATCTATACTTGATATCTTGACTACCATTTATGGTATCAAGTAGGTTACACACTGCGGGAGATCTGAATAATTCCGGTTTTACAAAGAAAACTGTGGTGACATTTCACCTCCTAGAACCGTGTAAAGTGGAAATGGTGAATTAATACCCTGACTATGAGTTTGATTTAACTCATCACCGGTTAACGCATGTAGCTAGCAAGAAATTGGGTGGTCTGAACTGACTTGACTCTCTGAGCTGACTCATTCAAACAGCGTTCATCGCTGATCAGCTCGATCTCAAACGAGATAAACAACTGTTAGGTGTTTAGATCAATTCGATATACCGTGCAAGTACTACTGGCTGATATACGCTGTATACAACTGCTAATAAGTCAGTGGTATATAGTTTTCCGCATTTTTGCCAGCTTTATAGATTACTACTTATGATACGAAGCAGATCATATATTGTGGTGATCTGAATAATTTTGGTTTCCAAGAGAAAGTGTGGTTCAATAAAGCATACAGGTAGTGTTTAAATTTTCCAAAATATGAAACAGCACTTGTTCTGTCCTTTTTTGTCCTACGCTTCTGTAGCTGATATATATTTACAATAAAGTGATAGAATTCCCCATAAACTCTTCAGTAAACACAGACAGAAATCCTACTAGTTAACAGTGTACTTACTTATGACAGTTTGTTACTTTCATCTAATGGGAGTCGCAGATAATGATGTTGACATTTCCACTGATTACCTCAGTAACTCCAAGTGCAATCAATGACTTGAATTACCTCACTTTATGAACAACTGATACCGATCATACCTCTTTAGCACTTCACCACTGTTAGGAATGACACAAAATCCCTAACAACTTACTCTTGAAAATTATTCTGATGCTTACTAGTGACTAACTGAATTTCTGATGAGAAGTCGTAACCAGTGGGGTCCACCAGATCAGGTGTCAGAATGAATACTCACCAACAGCATTACCTGGTGGTCGCGCTATAATCGTCAACTGGCAGAAGTTAGAATTCACAGGCTGCTGAATTCCTGTCCTAGTGGGTAAATGATTAATGAGCTTGGTCTTGTAACCTGATCCCTCTTTGATCAGATGGTGGGTGCGTAAAGATAAAGAGTCCCAGGCTAGGACAAAATAGCCATACAATACTCTCAAATTTTCCAATGGTTCTTTCACCAATGTCAGATCATGATGAAATCCTTGTGGGGCTATTCTCAGTGACTTTTCTTAAGTCCATATGTTACGTCCTTAAATTTGCTGGCTGTTTGCCATCATTGCCTAAACTGAGTATTTTAGATGTCCAATTTCTATTTACTATGCTAACCAACCTCTGATTTATGCAAAGACTAAGTAGACTAACAAAATACATCTATGATATCGTCAGGCTTCACTAACTGTACTATTGGTGAACAAATTAAAATAGATTTCACGTGTCTACAGGAAGAAGGCTGGCTAAATATAAACGACAGAGCTTTGTCTTGAGTAAAAATGAAAAAGAATTGAGGCATTCTGATTGGTGCGATATATGCATTGAAGTTTATTTATTACTTGGGCAATAAACTCATTGGACAATTAACTAATACTATTTGAGCCAAAATTTCAGACACACGTGGCCTGCTCTATCTACCTATCTATCTAGTCAAACATCTCAAAAGCGCTTTCTTGGTATGAAGCATCGTAAATTCAACATATTCATTCTTTGTATACAATTCGAGCTGGTTTAGGCAACAGTTGTTTGTGTCATAAAATTCTATCTATAGGCTATTCACCGGGAAAAAAGACGGGTCATGTATAATTCCTTCCTTTCTCCATCCTGGTTCATCATCACCATCGTCGTCATGAGAACATGATTGTGATGAATATTCTTCATGGGATGTTGAAAAGTCCATCAATCGGGCATATAACAAAATAAAAAAAGTCTTTTCCATAAAAAAGGAAATAACAATGGTGAAGAAATATTTACGTTGCATTGATTTTCATTGTTCTTATTAAAAGTCAGACCAAGCGACATTATTCACACACAGAGAGAAAAGAGACGAAAACAGGAATAACAAAGCTTGATTATACACAGCATATATATATATGTCTCCTCTTTGTCCTATTATAGTTATAATTGTCGTTTTTGTCAGCTTTCTTCATGTTCCTGTTCACAGTCTGAATGTTCAAAAATTTCTATGGGAAACGTAGGCGTACCTCCTAACTTTTCATGCATACACGAGTTGAATCATGCTTAATAATAAGCTCATATAGAGATTGATTTTGTGAAAATAATATGTACACATTCCAATTGGATGGATACATTATGTGAATGAATAACACTGAACACAGCAAAAACAAATACAAAAAACAAACGTGGATTACTTTAGACATTAGCATTCGTTTTCAAAAAGGTACATGTCTCAATTGTTTTAATGAATGGATATATACAACGTGTGGATGACGATATTAATGTATCATGCTTTATTGATTGGAGTATATATGACAGTAATAATAACTCCACAGTCAGTTAGTTATGACTTGGAGTATTCAAATGACAATAATTATAATAATACACAGATATCCAATGCTCATACTTCATCGCATACATTGATTGAAGCTGAAGGAAGAAATATCTTAAATGCAAAAGATTTAAATGGAATTATCGTTACGTCAACTAGTTGTGGAAATCATTGTTTCAAATCTTGTAAGCTTCAGTGATTCTTTTCTTCAGATTCGTTATGTGCACATGCATTTTCTCTCTATTTTTAATTTGATCATTTGCAGTGAAATATAAGATGTGCGTAACTCAAGGTTCAGAGATAAAATATGGTCGAGGTTAAATTCCCGATCAACACACTCCTAATCCTTGCTAAGTCAGCAGTGAACCCAATGAAAAGGGGGAAGGTCGGGATAGGTGGGGCTAGCTACTCCACACAGTATGAACAACACTAGAGTTCGTGGGACTTCAGTCATAAAGCTTGAAATCTTTTGTTTCATTGATATAAGTATAAAACTTGAGCACTGTGATAGAGTGTAACTCCATTATGGATAACATTTTATTTTGATAAATCACACAGTGTTACACAGTAATATTAACTGATGACGTTTCGAGCACAAACTATTGCTCATAATAAAATGTTATCCATAATCTTTTGTTTCACTTGGAATGCAAAGGGATGAAAAATATCTGCAGTAAGACAGATTGCAATGTGCGTCATTCATAAAACATGCTACTATTTATTCATAAGATGAGTAAAACCTTTGAAAAACACACGAGCAAACGAACTAGCAGTTTTAAAATATGCCCTATAATCAATATCATGCAGGTTAATCAGGTAAGAGAGTTACTGTACAGTTTTACAAGTTATGCTCAATAACAAGAAAGCTCTGAATAGACATACTTCTCAGAGTACTGTCTATAATGAATAGGGATTTCATGCTAGTGTAAGCTATAAACTGTAGCACTATTATTACTTTAACTGATGTCATTGCTATAAATACCAGTTAAATTACTTTTTCTATTTCTCCTCTTTGAATTCTGATTGGAAATTAGGGTTTCAGGGTCTAAGCCTTGAGTTTTCAGGAGCACTTGAATTATTTTTACGAGATGAAGTTGCTAGCCCCACGCCCAACCTCCCCTCTCTTCCAGGCTGACTACCGGTCAGGGGAAGTTTAGGAGTCCGCTGCCTGTTAACCGAGTCTTGAACCCCTTGTGCAGCTGGTGAGCATTCTACCCTTGAAACACTCACGTTTTTAGTTACCAGGGCTCTGTAAGAGTAAAGCTGATTTTGCTTCAGAGTAATTCATTTATATCTAAAATTGATATCGTTGACAGCTGCAGAGAGTCGAATTGCTTAATAGGGGAGACCTAATTGAGATGCATTGTATTGATTGGAGGAAAATATCACTAAGAGATTAGAACGTCCACACAAAAAAGTGTATATTCCCTCCCCCTCCCCAAAAGAAGTTATAGAATGTAGATGACTGTCATTCTCTGTATGCGTGAGTTTAAATGGGTGTGATATTGACTACGTTTAGATGTTGGAGATCGTTTCATTCATCATTACACCTACTCGACTGTCTGAATGTAGCTTATTCTTTTTTCGGTAAATGTGATCCTCGACTGACTGAGTTTCCAATGTAGAACCTTCCACAGAAGTGCAGTAACTTAACTTGTTGACTATCTGGTAGTAAGCCTGGGGAAAGAGCGAAGGTTGAGCCCAAGATTATCAACCGCATCGCTACTGAAACTCAAAGCTTGAAGCCCCATGTTCCAACCGAAACATAAGAAATGAAAAAACAAACATAAACTTACCTTCAAATAAATAAGTTTGATAACTAATGTGAGTTTGGTTATATTAACTACCTTGGTTAAATTTCAACTATCAAGCCAGAGGGTGACTATGTTATTCTTCAGCTTCTTATGATACATATTTCAGACTTTAAAATCGTTGTATATGTGTGTGGGTATGGTGGGGATGAGTTTTATTAATGTCATAACAGATTTCAATACAAATAGTCATTTGTTAGTGAACGTTTGAACACAAAGAGGCGCTTAGCATCCGCTTATTTGTCTAAACAGTAGGCTGAAAACTCATCGTTTCCCACTGGGGTTGAAGTCGCTGGTCTATCGCATGGAGTCACTCAACAATAAATCACTACCTACAGTGACTTTAAATATTTATCAGGATTTATACTGCTAACACTTTATGACTTTATTTCTTAATAAAATATCGATCCTATCCACCAATGAGCTTACACAAACACAAAGAAATTTAATTGGACAATTAATGAATGGGAATTTCAGAAAATATTTACCCCAACATAAAAATTGTATGAATCATATATACACCAGTTCAACCAATTGTTTATTAGCCGCCTTCAAAAAATTATTGGAATAAGTAGAATGATCTTATTAAATTATTTCTCTTAAACAGGTAGGGATTTTATCGATTTTACGGTATTGATTAATAGTATTTAGAGACGAGATTAACTAGGTTGGTCAGATTTAACAGATGGCTAACGACTTGCTGTTAGGCTATTCAGATACATCAGAATGAATGCGTCCAAATACCAGTTCACTCATAATCCTACGTCTTTTGAATGGTTCAGCAATATGTCATTTAATGTCGGTCGTTATACTGAAATATATTGATTTCAGTTTTCCACTAAAATTTATATAAACAGACATTCAGTGATCTTAAGTGTTCCCTAACCAATAATTCGCCCTTCGGAATATTCCCATTAATCAAGTTTCATAACACAGATAACTCTCCCAGTACACTCTTGCTTTTTAAATTGTGAATTCAGTAGAAGGTAATAAAAATTATGTAAAGAATTGAACACGGAAAACATTGCATAGAAAAGTAGTAATGGTAGTTTGGCGGATGTTATTGACATGATTTTTTAATTGATATATTGTGTGCATGTGATATCTTCTGTGAGAATATTGAATAGAGTAGAGATGCATTAAATGGCAAAGAAGGAGAATGAAAGATCCTTGTATGAAGCAGTGTAGAAACATGAAAAGAAGGTAAAAGAAGCACACTGAGGAGGAAATGCTCAAATAGTGATTTTAACGGAAGGTATATTTAACTTGCCAATACCTGTGCATTGAGTTACTCTATCAAATACTATTGTTTTCTGCGACTTCATTTTTGTCTCCACCTAAGACCAAACGACCTGCAGCTTTTGAAGAGGGAAACAAACAGAGCTTTCTGCTGTAACCGGTACTTAGTTTGTGAGCTTCCAGAATCTGACGACGAAGACAGCTGAGCTGGTGACGCTGTTGAGAGATTGAGTGAAGATGGCTCACGATAGCATGGAGAATGCAGTTGAGGAGACCCGAAAGTTATTGGTGGTGGGATTCGGTGGACTGCACATCAGAAAATATAGCAGTTCCGTAACACGAAGCTGAGACTAGACGGAGACCTGTCGGTTTGGGCTCTGAAGCCGATAAATCCACTCAGTCAGGCACTCCCCAAGCTTGATGAAGAGTCCGAGAAGCAGTTGTTGACATCCCAGGACACATTTCTGAGCATCCGTAGCTGGTTAAAGCCACACAGCACATGGACATCGGTAAGCAAGTAACGGTAGCCAGACAGCCATTGAGCACAAAATTTGTAACAGCAGAACACAATAGTATTTTGTAGTGGAAATGTTTACTGGCATACTGATGTGCATTAAAATCTCTATTTGTACATGTTCTCCTCATTGTACTTCTTTTGTTTTCCTTTCTTACTTTCAACATTACCTCATACAAGCATCTTTAATTTCTCCTCTTTCCCATTTAATCCATCTCTTCTTTATTGAATATTCTTGCTGAAGACACCACGTGCATACAATAGATTACTTACAAAATCTTATGAGTAGCACGCATCACAATAGTAGGATGATTGGTAATATTTATCAGTATACCTTAAATTTTTGAAATAATGATCTTGAAAAGAAGGCAGAGGCTAGTAAATTTCAAGCAGATCCTAAAAAGTACGTCCACAATTATAGTAGAGTTGATTTAAATAAGGTGCAACTCGAAGTACTTTCTCTTGTACTTAGATTTTGCGACATATGGAAACGAGTCCATCACTTAGATACTGATATTGAATTTGAAAACTTATTCAGTCAAACAAGGGATTTAGTTCCATCATCCATCCTGGAACTAGAACGCTTCAAATCCAGTCTAGTGGATTTTTGTTATCAGTACAAAATCATCAAATGCGATAGTAAAAGTTTCTTTACAAAGCAGCACAGAGGAGAACTAAAGAAACAGACAAATGATGCGAGACTGATAATCACAAAGCTTGATAAAGGATCAAGAATAGTCCTCCTTGATAGAAGTGACTATATTAAAAAGATGAAGGATATATTGAAGGACACACAGAAGTTTCAAAAACTTGAGAAGAAAGATTTCAATAACAAAATAGAGAATGAATTAACCAGACGTTTGAAGAAACTAAGGGAGGAGCAAATATTTCCTGAAAGTTTATATGAAGAAATCAGGCCAACGGGCACGTATACGTCAAGATTGTATGGCCTACCTAAAGTGCATGAACCGGGGGTACCTTTAAGACCAATACTTGAAATGCAAAATTCGCCCTACTTTGCTCTATCTAGATGGTTAGTAAATATTGTCAAACCTTTGCATGAGAAGATAGTGAAATATAGCGTCAAAGATGTATTTGAATTCGTAGACAAAATCAAAGATATTAATGTCAAGGTCAAAACCATGATATCTCCGGACATAACATCTTTATTCACAAATGTACCTCTAGTAGAAAAAGCTAACTACATACGTGAATAAGTGTATAACCAGTTGATAAACATTGGCATCCGTACTGAAATCCTAAAAGAATTGTTATAAAGGTGTACCATGAATGTAAATAACAAATTTGACGGCACACTTTACAGGTGGGTGGCAATGGGCTCCCCATCGGGTCTCATTTTGGCTGATTTCTTTCTAAGTAAAATAGAAAATGGACCTTTGAACAACCTTATCAGAAAGTCCTCATTTTATTGCCGGTATATGGATGACACTTTCATTCTTTGTGATAATGATTCGGATAGGAGTACAATAATAACTGAATTCAATGATTTACATTCGGCTATGAAATTCACGTGCGAAGAGGAATCGCAAAAGAGAATTGCCTTCCTGGATGTCCTCCTTACAAGAAAACCAGATGATAGCATAAAAAGAAATTTGCATAGAAAAAGTACTTGGACAGGACAATATACACATTTTCACAGCTTCATTTCTGTCAAGTACAAAAGAAATTTAGTAAAGACCCTCAGCCACAGAGTTAGAGCTCAGAAGAAGTAATTGAAGGTGAATTAAACATTGTATATGATACTTTGATCGAAAAAAGCTATCTAAACAAATTTATCAAGAAACACATGACAAAGAAATCAGAAAAGGACAACTCACTATCCGTAAACAA